AAATGTTTGTTTTCTGCCCGGATCCTGACTGTAGTGAGCTGAAATCTCTTGGGATTCATTTCTGGCATCTTCTCACCTTGTGTGAACTTTTGACTTGGTTTCGTGAAGTTGGATTTTTTTGGCCAAAAATCAGTATTTTTCATGACCGCGGATATGGAAATCTTTTAGATTGAGACCATTTTGGTAAAAACTCAAATGTTTGTTTTCTGCCCGGATCCTGACTGTAGTGAGCTGAAATCTCTTGGGGATTCATTTCTGGCATCTACTCACCTTGTGTGAACTTTTGACTTGGTTTCGTGAAGTTGGAATTTTGGCCAAAAATCAGTATTTTTCATGACCGCGGATATGGAAAACTTTTCAGATTTAGACCATTTTTGGTAAAAACTCAATGTTTTTTTCTGCCCGGATCCTGACTGTAGTGAGCTGAAATCTCTTGGGGATTCATTTCTGGCATCTACTCACCTTGTGTGAACTTTTGACTTGGTTTCGTGAAGTTGGATTTTTGGCCAAAAATCAGTATTTTTCATGACCGCGGATATGGAAATCTTTTCAGATTGAGACCATTTTTGGTAAAAACTCAAATGTTTCTTTTCTGCCCGGATCCTGACTGTAGTGAGCTGAAATCTCTTGGGGATTCATTTCTGGCATCTACTCACCTTGTGTGAACTTTTGACTTGGTTTCGTGAAGTTGGAATTTTTGGCCAAAAATCAGTATTTTTCATGACCGCGGATATGGAAAATTTTCAGATTTAGACCATTTTTGGTAAAAACTCAAATGTTTGTTTTCTGCCCGGATCCTGACTGTAGTGAGCTGAAATCTCTTGGGGATTCATTTCTGGCACTACTACTCACCTTGTGTGAACTTTTGACTTGGTTTCGTGAAGTTGGATTTTTTGGCCAAAAATCAGTATTTTTCATGACCGCGGATATGGAAAACTTTTCAGATTGAGACCATTTTTGGTAAAAACTCAAATGTTTCTTTTCTGCCCGGATCTGACTGTAGTGAGCTGAAATCTCTTGGGATTCATTTCTGGCAACTACTCACCTTGTGTGAACTTTTGACTTGGTTTCGTGAAGTTGGAATTTTGGCCAAAAATCAGTATTTTTCATGACCGCGGATATGGAAAACTTTTCAGATTTAGACCATTTTTGGTAAAAACTCAAATGTTTCTTTTCTGCCCGGATGCTGACTGTAGTGAGCTGAAATCTCTTGGGGATTCATTTCTGGCATCTACTCACCTTGTGTGAACTTTTGACTTGGTTTCGTGAAGTTGGATTTTTGGCCAAAAATCAGTATTTTTCATGACCGCGGATATGGAAATCTTTTCAGATTGAGACCATTTTTGGTAAAAACTCAAATGTTTTTTTGTGCCCGGATCCTGACTGTAGTGAGCTGAAATCTCTTGGGGATTCATTTCTGGCATCTACTCACCTTGTGTGAACTTTTGACTTGGTTTCGTGAAGTTGGATTTTTGGCCAAAATCAGTATTTTTCATGACCGCGGATATGGAAAACTTTTCAGATTTAGACCATTTTTGGTAAAAACTCAAATGTTTTTTTTTCTGCCCGGATACTGACTGTAGTGAGCTGAAATCTCTTGGGGATTCATTTCTGGCAACTACTCACCTTGTGTGAACTTTTGACTTGGTTTCGTGAAGTTGGATTTTTGGCCAAAAATCAGTATTTTTCATGACCGCGGATATGGAAAACTTTTAAGATTGAGACCATTTTTGGTAAAAACTCAAATGTTTCTTTGTGCCCGGATCCTGACTGTAGTGAGCTGAAATCTCTTGGGATTCATTTCTGGCATCTACTCACCTTGTGTGAACTTTTGACTTGGTTTCGTGAAGTTGGATTTTTGGCCAAAAATCAGTATTTTTCATGACCGCCGGATATGGAAAACTTTTCAGATTTAGACCATTTTTGGTAAAAACTCAATGTTTGTTTTCTGCCCGGATCCTGACTGTAGTGAGCTGAAATCTCTTGGGGATTCATTTCTGGCACCTTCTCACCTTGTGTGAACTTTTGACTTGGTTTCGTGAAGTTGAATTTTTGGCCAAAATCAGTATTTTTCATGACCGCGGATATGGAAAATTTTAGATTTAGACCATTTTTGGTAAAAATAAATGTTTGTTTTCTGCCCGGATCCTGACTGTAGTGAGCTGAAATCTCTTGGGGATTCATTTCTGGCATCTTTTCACCTTGTGTGAACTTTTGACTTGGTTTCGTGAAGTTGGAATTTTTGGCCAAAAATCAGTATTTTTCATGACCGCGGATATGGAAAACTTTTAAGATTTAGACCATTTTTGGTAAAAACTCAAATGTTTGTTTTCTGCCCGGATCCTGACTGTAGTGAGCTGAAATCTCTTGGGGATTCATTTCTTGCATCTACTCACCTTGTGTGAACTTTTGACTTGGTTTCGTGAAGTTGGATTTTTTGGCCAAAATCAGTATTTTTCATGACCGCGGATATGGAAAACTTTTCAGATTGAGACCATTTTTGGTAAATAACTGAAATGTTTGTTTTCTGCCCGGATCCTGAATGTAGTGAGCTGAAATCTCTTGGGGATTCATTTCTGGCACCTTCTCACCTTGTGTGAACTTTTGAATTGGTTTCGTGAAGTTGGATTTTTGGCCAAAAATCAGTATTTTTCATGACCGCGGATATGGAAAACTTTTCAGATTTAGATCAATTTTGGTAAAAACTCAAATGTTTGTTTTCTGCCCGGATACTGACTGTAGTGAGCTGAAATCTCTTGGGGATTCATTTCTGGCAACTACTCACCTTGTGTGAACTTTTGACTTGGTTTCGTGAAGTTGGAATTTTTGGCCACAAATCAGTATTTTTCATGACCGCGGATATGGAAAACTTTTCAGATTTAGACCATTTTTGGTAAAAACTAAAATGTTTCTTTTCTGCCTGGATGCTGATTGTAGTGAGCTGAAATCTCTTGGGGATTCATTTCTGGCATCTACTCACCTTGTATGAACTTTTGACTTGGTTTCGTGAAGTTGATTTTTGGCCAAAAATCAGTATTTTTCATGACCGCGGATATGGAAATCTTTTCAGATTGAGACCATTTTTGGTAAAAACTCAAATGTTTCATTTGTGCCCGTATCCTGACTGTAGTGAGCTGAAATCTCTTGGGGATTCATTTCTGGCATCTACTCACCTTGTGTGAACTTTTGAATTGGTTTCGTGAAGTTGGATTTTTTGGCCAAAAATCAGTATTTTTCATGACCGCGGATATGGAAAACTTTTCAGATTTAGACCATTTTGGTAAAACTCAAATGTTTCTTTTCTGCCCGGATACTGACTGTAGTGAGCTGAAATCTCTCGGGATTCATTTCTGGCAACTACTCACCTTGTGTGAACTTTTGACTTGGTTTCGTGAAGTTGGATTTTTTGGCCAAAAATCAGTATTTTTCATGACGGCGGATATGGAAAACTTTTAAGATTGAGACCATTTTTGGTAAAAACTCAAATGTTTCATTGTGCCCGGATCCTGACTGTAGTGAGCTGAAACCTCTTGGGGATTCATTTCTGGCATCTACTCACCTTGTGTGAACTTGTGAATTGGTTTCGTGAAGTTGGATTTTTTGGCCAAAAATCAGTATTTTTCATGACCGCCGGATATGGAAAACTTTCCAGATTTAGACCATTTTTGGTAAAAACTAAAATGTTTGTTTTCTGCCCGGATCCTGACTGTAGTGAGCTGAAATCTCTTGGGGATTCATTTCTGGCACCTTCTCACCTTGTGTGAACTTTTGACTTGGTTTCATGAAGTTGGAATTTTTGGCCAAAAATCAGTATTTTTCATGACCGCGGATATGGAAAACTTTTCAGATTTAGACCATTTTTGGTAAAAACTAAAATGTTTCTTTTCTGCCCGGATGCTGATTGTAGTGAGCTGAAATCTCTTGGGGATTCATTTCTGGCATCTACTCACCTTGTGTGAACTTTTGACTTGGTTTCGTGAAGTTGGATTTTTGGCCAAAAATCAGTATTTTTCATGACCGCGGATATGGAAATCTTTTCAGATTGAGACCATTTTTGGTAAAAACTCAAATGTTTCATTTGTGCCCGTATCCTGACTGTAGTGAGCTGAAATCTCTTGGGGATTCATTTCTGGCATCTACTCACCTTGTGTGAACTTTTGACTTGGTTTCGTGAAGTTGGATTTTTTGGCCAGAAATCAGTATTTTTCATGACCGCGGATATGAAAACTTTTCAGATTTAGACCAATTTTGGTAAAAACTCAAATGTTTCTTTTCTGCCCGGATACTGACTGTAGTGAGCTGAA